ATATTTGATCATCTATAGTTTTTTATTTTTTAAAATTTCTTTTTATGGGAGTTTGAACATCTTCATTTTTCTTTTTATTCCCTAACATTCATAAAACCCTTTTTTCATATATTTCAATCATCTATTATTCTATGCTTAAAAAGTTGATAGATCTCCTTTTTCTGATTTTTTTAAGTACTTAAAAATTTCAATCTTTGATCATATCGCAAACATTTTTCCTTTGCAGCAGTCATATTTTTAACTATTCGTATTTAATTGTTATTTATACCTCAATATTTAAGTCATGAATTTGATTTTATAATGTTTTTTATGAAATTCCATAAAATTTAAATAGTACATAAAGTATAATATTCATACCTTTCAGAAGAATACAAATTTTATTCTCAAAATTAAAAGGTTATTAGGATCAGGAATGTTTCTATTGTAATTAAATATATATTTTGGAAATAAAGAAGAAGATGAACATTTAAACAAATATTAATAATATATTTTAGTATTATCATTGTTCGACAATCCATATTTTATTTTATGGAATTCATATTGTTGATTTTCATTAATGAAAATTCATTTTTATAAATACTACTCAACAAAAAAAACGCTTCCATATTAAAAATAATAGAAATAAAGTGACTATTTAAATGACTATGTCTCTATCTAAAGTAATTATAATATAAAAAAAATATGGATTAATAATAACCAAATGAAGCACAACAATCACCACTTGTTCAAACTATCATAAATATTCATAATTATTTTGAAAATATTAATAATCAAATAAAAGATAAATTCCCTTAAATTCCATAAAAAAGCACTGTGTTTATCTTTTTGGGAGAATTTGGATAATAATTTCATAATTTCTATGCTCATTTTTTAACCAAATAAGTCATTTAAGTTAATAAATACTATAAATTAGTCAAAGTAGAAGATTAAGGAAATATTTATTATTTATTAAATTTTCCTATGATCTTATTATATGATGATCAAAATGATTAAATAGCATAGAATTTATGTATTTCTAAATTTTATGCTGAAATGGCATTAAAATAAATGGAAAAATGTTCTTTTTATTTAATATTAGATAATTAATAATTAAAAGGAGATGATGATAAGGCAAAGTTGGATAATGTGATTAAAGATTCAATATTTTATTTTGGATCTTATTATTTTAATGAAGATAACTTTTTCTTGCTAAGCCATCAAACAGAAAATCGATGGGATTATCTTTAATTTTCAAATTCAAATGGATTTTATTCTTATTTTTCATAGAAATAATAGATTTAAACTCAAAAGGTTAGCTAAAATGAAATTTTGAATTCAATCATTAAATCAGGCAATATAATAAATGTAACCAAAGTAAAATCAGAAGATTTAATCAATTATGGAAAAATGATGACATATTTATAAAAATAGTATGATGCTTTAAAGGAATAATTGAATCTTAATATTCGTCAATTTTCAAAACTCCTTCTTTACTTATAATAGATGCCAATCGTCAATAATAATAATGAAGTTATAATGGAAATTGAAAACTATTTAAAAGAATTATATCAGGATTTTGAGGATAATAGAAATCTTCTAACTGATAAGGCTTCTTAAATTGTGAGAGTTTATCAATATATTAATAAAGTGAATGATCAGGAAAATGCTAAAAAGATAAATGAAAGATAAAAAAAAGTATTTAGTCCTTAAATGAAACAATTTAAGGAAGATAATAAAATTAAATAATTAAAAATTGAACCTTTACTTAGTGATGATCTAAATGATAAACTTAATAGGATAATTTAATTTTTTATTAAATATCTTATTACATAAATAAAAAATGATACAATTTGTGAAGTGTAAAAATTAAAATTAAATCTTAAATAATGGTGTGCTTATTGTAAGGAATCATTAGAAAATACTCTATATGATCTAAAATATATCACATAGAGAATATAAAAAGGACCATAAGAAGAAATTGAAAATGGAATATATTTTATAGGTATAACAAAAGCAGGAAAATCTACAATAATTAATTCACTTCTTAATCCACATAAAATTGTTAAAGAAGAATTGGTAAATGAAAAATGTTATAAAATTGATATGGAGACAAAATTTAAGATTGGAGAAGGTGCGGTTAGTGAAACATAAAAAATTAGTGGGGTCTACATAGGTAAAAAGGAAGAATTAAATTAATTCTTTGATTAAGATGAATCAAATGTTTTTAGTCTTGAAGAAGTATTAGACTAGAACTAAAATCAAAATTGTAAAATCCCTTAAAAATGTTTCATTTTTGATTGTCCTGGGTTTGATGATAATTCTAATGAATTAATGAGAATTGCACATAGGATAAGTTTATACAATTACTTCAGCAAAACAAAAAATATAATTGTATTTTTTGTAGTTGACATTTCCTAACAAAATATTGAGTAGATTAAAAATACTTTTGATCCAATAAGCTATCTTTTGGAAAATAAAAATGCCATAGAAGAAGATTTTTATAAATGGACAAATTTGATTCTAACAAAAGCTAAAGATGGATCAAGATAAAAATATTTGGAAAGTTGGGAAAAGGTTTATAAAGGGTATTTAGAGTAAGATTATAGTTTCTATAAAAAATTATTTGAAAATGATGAAAGATGTATAGAATTCCCAAAACCATCAAAGGATATAACTAAAAATATTAAAAATTTAGTTGATTCAATTCCCAAAACATTATAAAATTAACTTTAATAAAATGAAAGATTTCATCCGACTTTCAAACTTGTTATTGATGATAAAGTTTGGAGGCTTTATGAACAATGCATACCTAAAGCTAAAATGAAATTAGAATAATTAATAAATTTTTTAATTGAAGATTTAGATGAATATATTTTAGAAAGTGATGATACTATTAATTAAAAAAAAGAATAAATGCAAAAAATCTTAAACAATTTATTTAGCTAAATAAAATAGGATATGAAAATAACATAGGAAAACTGTGAATAAATCCTTAAAGATTTATCTGATTGGATAAAGGGAAATCACCACTTAAAACATAATGATTTTTTCCTTTAATTATACATTGAAGATATGAAATCCATTTTAACAATATCAAAATATTGCTAATATAATAATAATATAGCACCTTTTGAAATAAAAATTGATAGCCTAGTTAATAAAATTAAAACAATCCTTAAAATGATTGAATAAACCATTTAGTATTATAAAAATTGGAAGTACACTGGATATGCTGCTAGTTTTATAACAGCAATAGCGACTTTTGGTACATCTCTAACTTTATTAGAAGTTGGAGTTATGGCTAATTTGGCTAGGCAATTTTTATTAAGAAGAGGTGCATTGTGGGTAGCAGCAACTGTAAGTTCAGGATACCTTACAGCAAGTACTGGCTTGAGTTTTAGTGTAGATATAAATTTTATGGAATCCTGGAAAAATACATATTTAAAAAAGATTTATCAAAATGAATTGGAGAAAGAATAATTATTATAACTATAAGAATAATAGAACGCGTGAAAGAAACTAAGATAGAGAGAAGCAAAAATGTAAATCTGAGATTTTTATTTTTGTTTACAAAATTATTCAATTTGTTAATTCATATATAATTATAAAAAAAAGAGATTAAGCAAACGAAAGAAATTAAAATTCTATACCAAAATTTTCAGATTTTAATTCATCCTAGTTGATTATAATTATTAATTATATTTAAAAGGCTTTAGCGAATAATATATCAACTTCAGTAAATTATTATGTATTTTGTTTTTATAATTAAAATTAATTTCAAGATAAACTATTTTAAAATAAATTAAAAAATGACATTTTAGTTGAAGCTCCCTTTAATTAAGAGACAAACAGAATAGGAATAAACTAATATAGATTTTTAATAAGCATCAAATAAAAGTTAATATGTTGTAAATATATAAGAAACAATAAGAAGTTAAAATCAAAGGAAAAGCAGCAGCCTTTATGGTATTATAAATAAATAAAAGAAGAAATTTCAAATTAAGGATCAAGTCGTACGACTGATAGAACGAAATCAATTGAAAATTCATTAGTTGAGGAAGCTTCAATAAAACAAGAGAAATCAAATTACGTCATGAAAGAATAATAGAAAATTTAGGGTTAGATTGATATGAGAAAAGGTTTTGCAGGAAGATATGATAGAAATGGTGAATGGGAGCATTATTTACCACCAATACCAAGTGTTAAAGAGAGAGAAAATAAACAATTATAACAACTAGTCAAATTCACTATAAAATTTGTTGATAAAGTTCCTAAGCTGAAATTAAGGCAAAGATTAAAATCTTGTTTTTTAGCAATCAAAGCATTAGTTAGATGGGCAAAATTAGTACAGTATTTCATACTTATATTTTAAAGATCTCTAATTTAGAAAAAAAGATTGAATTCTTTTTGTTATAATAATTGTTTAAAGGAAGTAATTTATAATGATTAGATCAAAGCAATAAAATTTAAATAATGGACTTAGATGGTGTTTTCAAAAGTATTTAATTAGATAAAAAAGGAGAGATTAGATTAATATTAAAATTTAAATATTATAGTAATTATATTATATATATTTGTTAGGATGGTTATTGTCAATAATTAAGTCCACAAGAAAATGATATAAATATACTAAAATTAAGACATTTAATAATGTTGATGTTAGAAGGTTTATTAATAATGACAAATAAATCAAATTTATTAAAAGAATTGATTGGAGAAATGTATTTATCATAATTTGAAGATTAAAGAAATAGTTTTTATTTATTTACTAGTATAAGAACTTTGTATTTATAAAATAAAAGAGATGAATTACCATAAATGCAAAGAGCTATGATATATATTGAATTTTTAATAATGAAAATCATAATTTAAAATATACAAATACTCATTAATCAGGATAAAATATTAAATACTAAAAACAATACTTTAAGTTTCTTATTAAAATTACTAATTTCATTTCTACACTATCTATACTTGAATTTATTCTCAAAATTAGAAATTATCAAGTAAAGAATAAAAAAATAATTAATTTAAAAATAATTAATAATTAATCAAAGTATCTAATTAATTGATACACCTTCAAATAGAGATTCTTAAGATTTAATAATTGGAATATATAATTATGAATCTTTAAAACCAATTTTGGAATCTTAAAGATGGAAACTTTAAATGAAATCAATCTTTATGAAAGTTATTTAAAATCTTGAATAACAATAATTATGAGTATTTTTAATTTGATTAAATTTGAAATTAATATATTATGTATAAATGATTATAAATAAGTATTGAATCTACATATTTTTTATAATTTATTAAATAAATTTTATTATTTAATCAATTTCATTTGAAGAAGCAAAGATTTTATATGACATCATATACTTAAGTAGTTATTCTAAAATTATATATATTAAAATTTTGGTTCATTAAAATCAAGATTAAATATGATAAAGGACAATGAGATAATAACAAAGAATGATAGACTAAATTCTCATCTTAATTACTAATAAACTAAGTTTAAAATTCCAGAATAATAAAATCTCAAATATAATTCTTCATTTCCTTAAGAACCAACCAATTATAATATATATGAAAGTAATATTTCTTCAATTTATATTATTAAGATGAAAGAACTGATCATTATACAATATTTTAAAAAGTTGGGTACTCAGTTTCTCAAGATCTTAAATAATAAGAATAACAGAGGATTATAAAGGAAAGTCTTGTTTCAACTGAAATTTAATCTGTGTAAAAATTGACTAGTCGCTAATCTCAGTAATTCTCGTTCATTCCAAGAGGTTAGAGTATAGAATTTATCAATAACAATGATAAATTAATAAATAAACCTGAAAGTCCATATAATTCTCAGAATATTAGAAATATATATCACAATTATGAGAAATCCTCTGAATATAAAAATGAAAATTTATTAAATGAAATTAATGACCATACATCTAATCCATTTAATAGTATAAGTTTATCAAACAAGAAAATTTCAAAGAATTATAATCCAATATTGTTGATAGATAAATTCAAACAAATAAGAAGATGTTTTTAGATGATTAGAGCTCTTTTTAGATTGAAAATGTTATACAAGTAATATTTATTATTTAAGAATAAGTTTGAAAAAATCAACATGGAATTTGTAGATGAATATATTTAAAAGTAATTAAAAGATTTTAAAATATAATGAAAGCATTACACTTATAAAAATAAAATAATGGACATAAATGGTATATGCCAAGATGATTTCAATTATTCAGTATTAAAATTTAGAAAAATAAAAATTGAATTTTATTGTAAATATTTTAATTAATGAAATTTAAAGGAAAATCCAGAAATAATGACATCTGTTGAAATTGATTAAGCAATTATTTTTATTCAAAATAACTTTACATTCACAATGTCCAATCTTTTAATGATGATAACAGGTGAAAATCTATTAAAAGAATTGAGTTTACAAATGTACTAGGATTAATACTTAGAATATAGAAAATAATTCAGTAAATTTGTTAGTTTAAGAACAAATTACATAAGTTATTATTATTAGAAATTGAATTAATAAGAAAAATAATTAGTATTCACTGAATTCATAATAATTCATAATTTAATACCCAATTTAATAAAATTAACATATAGTTTGGAATCATTAAAATGTAATATATCAAACATAAAATTTTTGATTAAATGTATGATTTCACTCTTTTAATATTTCTTTTTATTATAGTTTTCTAATTATCCAAAAATTTAAATAAAGAATGAAAATATTAAATATTCGCAATATCATCTAGGAAATAATGGTTCATAATTTATATTGATTTAGAACCAATAATTAAAATCTGATAATTTAATTGATGGAGTATATACAGAGGAATAAATGTAATTAATTTTAAATAAGAAGAGTTGGTTGGAATAAAATAAAAAAAAGATGAATATAGTTTCATATAATCTTGCTATTTTAGTTTGATTGATGGACTATATATATATATTATGTGTAAAATTGAATAAGATTGTAAACAATGATTATATATTAAAATAATTATTATAAATTAATTGAATACTTTCTATGTTTAATATTATAAAATAATGATAATCTAATTAGTTTTAATAATAGTTTTTCTATTTAATGGAAGATATTATTAATATAGAATTTTAAAGCATCTTTAAATATATTAAAATAAATATATATATAATTTTATAGATTTCACACAATAAATTGATAATCCATNCATCTAATCCATTTAATAGTATAAGTTTATCAAACAAGAAAATTTCAAAGAATTATAATCCAATATTGTTGATAGATAAATTCAAACAAATAAGAAGATGTTTTTAGATGATTAGAGCTCTTTTTAGATTGAAAATGTTATACAAGTAATATTTATTATTTAAGAATAAGTTTGAAAAAATCAACATGGAATTTGTAGATGAATATATTTAAAAGTAATTAAAAGATTTTAAAATATAATGAAAGCATTACACTTATAAAAATAAAATAATGGACATAAATGGTATATGCCAAGATGATTTCAATTATTCAGTATTAAAATTTAGAAAAATAAAAATTGAATTTTATTGTAAATATTTTAATTAATGAAATTTAAAGGAAAATCCAGAAATAATGACATCTGTTGAAATTGATTAAGCAATTATTTTTATTCAAAATAACTTTACATTCACAATGTCCAATCTTTTAATGATGATAACAGGTGAAAATCTATTAAAAGAATTGAGTTTACAAATGTACTAGGATTAATACTTAGAATATAGAAAATAATTCAGTAAATTTGTTAGTTTAAGAACAAATTACATAAGTTATTATTATTAGAAATTGAATTAATAAGAAAAATAATTAGTATTCACTGAATTCATAATAATTCATAATTTAATACCCAATTTAATAAAATTAACATATAGTTTGGAATCATTAAAATGTAATATATCAAACATAAAATTTTTGATTAAATGTATGATTTCACTCTTTTAATATTTCTTTTTATTATAGTTTTCTAATTATCCAAAAATTTAAATAAAGAATGAAAATATTAAATATTCGCAATATCATCTAGGAAATAATGGTTCATAATTTATATTGATTTAGAACCAATAATTAAAATCTGATAATTTAATTGATGGAGTATATACAGAGGAATAAATGTAATTAATTTTAAATAAGAAGAGTTGGTTGGAATAAAATAAAAAAAAGATGAATATAGTTTCATATAATCTTGCTATTTTAGTTTGATTGATGGACTATATATATATATTATGTGTAAAATTGAATAAGATTGTAAACAATGATTATATATTAAAATAATTATTATAAATTAATTGAATACTTTCTATGTTTAATATTATAAAATAATGATAATCTAATTAGTTTTAATAATAGTTTTTCTATTTAATGGAAGATATTATTAATATAGAATTTTAAAGCATCTTTAAATATATTAAAATAAATATATATATAATTTTATAGATTTCACACAATAAATTGATAATCCATCAATTATATCTATATATTTTAGTATAATAATTTTGTAATGTTGAAATGATACAAAAAAAATAGTGATAACACATTTTTTACTTTTTTCATATTCATACATCAGTATAATAATAATTTAAATTTAATATGTAAACAGAGAAACCTACACCAAAAACAGAAGCAGATTATAAAGCATAAGCAGCTGCATTGTCAGATTAATAATTATAGGAAGAGATCATTAAATTGAATAAGAGACTTCTTGAACTGAAAACTATGCAATCAAGAGAGATTAATTCAAAGAAGCAATATGAAGATTAATTGGATAGTACAAAGAAGAGAGTGTATAAAATCATTTATATATTAAGGGGCAATATGACAACACTTCCTTATTTAGTAGCAAATGTAGTGGAAATATTAGATATTGAAGCAATTGATAAAGATTAATAAGATTAATCTGTGACAGATGATTATGCTACAATTTCTGGAAAAGGTGTTGTAATTAAGACTACAACTAGATAGACCATCTTTTTACCAGTCACAGGTTTATTAAATGCATCTTAATTGAAACCTGCTGAATTGATTGGAGTTAATAAAGATGGATATATGTTATATGAGAAATTACCAACTGAATATGATGCAAGAGGTATTTTAAAAAATCATTATATTAGTTAAAACAATGGAAGTAGATGAAAAACCATAAGAAGATTATACAGATATTGGTGGATTAGATAAATAAATTGAAGAATTAAGAGAAGCTATTGTTTTACCTATTGTACATAAAGAAAAATTTGAAAATATTGGTATTAGGTAATTAATCATATTATAATTATATAGACCACCAAAAGGTGTCTTAATGTATGGACCACCTGGAACTGGTAAAACTATGATGGCTAGAGCATGTGCTGCTCAAACAAAAGCTTCATTCTTAAAATTAGCTGGTCCTTAATTAGTTTAAATGTTTATTGGTGATGGAGCTAAAATGGTTAGAGATGCATTTCAATTAGCTTAAGAAAAAGCACCTGCAATTATATTTATTGATGAATTAGATGCTATTGGAACTAAAAGATATGATAGTGATAAGAATGGTGATAGAGAAGTATAAAGAACTATGCTTGAATTATTGAATTAATTAGATGGATTTAGTCCTGATGATAGAATTAAAGTATTATTTAATATTTAATTTTAATAGGTTATTGCAGCCACTAATAGACCTGATATATTAGATCCAGCATTATTAAGATCTGGTAGATTGGATAGAAAAATTGAATTCCCATTACCTAATGAAGAAGCTAGAGCATAAATCTTGAAAATTCATTCTAGAAAAATGTCTGTGGCTAAAGAAACTGTTAATTATATAGAAATTGCTAGAAGTACTGATGAATTTAATGGTGCTTAGTTGAAGGCTGTATGGTATTTATTATTAATTAATATAATTTAAGTGTAGAAGCAGGTATGATTGCTTTGAATAGAGGTGGAACATTCTTGATTCATGAAGATTTTGTGGAAGGAATAGCTGTTGTACAAGCTAAAAAGAAAAGTAGCTTAAATTATTATGCTTGAATCAAATATATATAATATAATATTTCATGCAATAAGTACAGAAGAATAGAATCACTAAAGAAATATAAGATTTCGAATAGAGATAAAAGAAAGTATATGATATTCTCATTTTCAAAAGAGTGAAGATAATGGAATTTCTATCTTAGTTGTTGATAACAATATCACACATTGGAAAGGATTCATTAATGGATCACCAGATACTCCCTATGAAGGTGGCTATTTCTAAATTGATATTGTACTAACAGCTGATTATCCTTACAAACCACCCAAAATGAAATTTGATACACGTATCTGGCATCCAAATATTTCATCGTATTTTAAACCTATATGAAGATAAACTGGTGCTATATGTCTTGATATTTTGAAAGATGAATGGTCACCTGCCTTATCAATTCGAACAGCCTTATTGTCATTACAAGCCCTATTATGTGATCCATAACCAGGTATATATATTATAGTATTATAAATAGATTCTCCATAAGATGCTGTTGTAGCCAATCAATATAAATCAAATAGAGAATTATTTGTAAAAACAGCAAAGTATATATTATTTGCATTAAGTAAGAGAATGGACATTAAATTATGCATCAAAAAATAAACAAAATGAAAAAATTGCCAATCTCGTTTCATTAGGTTTAGATGAATAGAAAGTTAAAGTAATTAACTATTCAAATTTCATAGGAAGCATTACTAAGATTCGGATATGATGAAGAGCAAGCTGCTAATTTTTTATTAGGTGGATGAATAATAATTATTAAATTATAGTATTGTATTGCATTACATTTATAATAATGTGATATTAATTCTTTTTAAAAATTATTTAAATATAAATGTTTTGAATTATTTATTAAAACTAAGCAAAAACACATAACATATATTCCTTCTAATTTTGAACTTAAATATATTAAATAAATCTTTCTACTTTTTGTTTTATATTTTATTCCATAATTCCATAATAAATAAATTATTTTTAAATATGATATTTTATGATTCTTGTATTATTATTATATATAACAAACTTATAAATGATGTTACAGTTACAATTAATGTTTATATGGTTTACTTGTAGTGTCTTAAACAAGCTTGAGTCAATCAAAAACTCTATTATTTATTATATTTTCAAAGACTTTTCCTGAACCAATTTTCTATATATTTATTAAGTATTCTTCTATAATTTAAAATTTTTGTAATGAAATATTTACAATTTCATCATTTGTATTATTAATTACAAATGATAAAAAATGATAGAATCATTTAGATTGAATTATTTTAATATTTATTTTATAATTAGAAAAAAGTAGAAGAAATATTTTGTTTAAAATATTTATGTTTGATAAAATCAATATCCAACTGATGAAGCAAGTCTTTAGTTTCTTTCGTGATTTTCATCTTCAACTTAGTCGAATCTTTCAGCAACCATCTCTTCCAATTAAGCAACTAATTAGAGTTCGTTTCTTCTGGCTTAGGTAGCATAGTTATATTCATTGGCAAAGGTTGAGCATAAGGTTTAGGCTTAGTCCCAAAGTTATTAGTTTCTTTAGAGTTTTCCTGAAGCGGTTTAAGCAATGGCTGATTGAGTTCCAATGCATTAAACTAAGTTGGTTAACTTGTTTTAGAGTCTTTCGTTTTAAGCTTCAAGTCTGGCAATAGTTTATCCTAATCTTTCCTTTTAGTCGTTGAAAGCAGCAACTGATGCAGCATTTGAGGCTGAGTAATCGTTGTAAGCTTCTTAGATGTTTGATCTCAAGGTATCTAAAAGTTAAGCAACTCTTTCAAGAGCTGATTCATCGAGTTATCCTTCTTAGGCAGCCAATTAAGCAAAGGCATAGAAGATTGGGGCGAATTTAGCTGTTTCCTTGATGTTGAAGGCAGTTTAGAGCATACTCTTTGAAACTCTGCTGATTTCAGCGAATGATCCTGATCCACTATAGATGGTGGCTAAGATATCTTAAGCTTCATCAATAGCATGGAGAGCATCTTCATAATCTCTTCCTCTTCTCTTGAAATATCCAGCTTCTGTTTCAGCAGCACTCAAAACTGAGGTCATGTGTTCTTAAGCTGAGAAGTATTATTATTAGTTGACTTCTTAGACATTGGTTGTTCTGATCTTGGATGTGTTGCAGACATTCAAAGCAGCAGTGGAATCTCTCAAGACTGTTTGAGCATCTTAAACTTATCTGGATCTGAATTCATTTTCAGAAGCACATTCAGCTTATTATGTGTTGTAGATTTCATCATGATTGACTTATTCTGTGTTGACTGCATCTCTGAAATCTCTTAAGACATTCAAGATGGCATCAAGTGGTGATTTATTGTTCAATTTAGCTTCAACTTCAGCCATGACTGCTGTCAAAGATCTCTTCTTTGAATAGTCAAATGGATTTCTAGGAGCAGCACTGACGCATACTAACACAACTAATAATGTTGCAATCAATTTCATTTTTATTATTAATGATCATTTTCCATCTCATTTCCAATATATATAATAAAACTAAAAAACGGATATCTTAAAATTATTTTATTTCTAAATACCAATTCATTTTATAAATCTAATAATATAAATTTAAATCTTTAACTAGAACTCAAATACTATTATCTATAGAATGTCATTTCATTTTTGACATAATTATTATCATAATTATAATTTTATTAAGAAATTCATTTATAATTACAAACAAGTGAATTAAATTTGAATATCAATTCTGTTATAAATGTTTATAAAAAAGAGTATATAATTATAATTAATTATTAGAAATGATTATTAAAAATTTAATAAATTTCTGTTTTATTTTTAGTTTTGAAATATTATGATAAAAATCATAAAAGTTATTAAAAATTATTATAAATAATATCATTAATATATATATTATTGCAAAATTGATTTAAATATTTGAATTAGAGAATCAAAAGTAATAAGTCAAAATGATTTTTGTTAAGAATTCTCTTATCTATATTGTTGAAAGAATTGATCAATGTTTTTTTATCTTGATGAACTCATTTCTAAGTTCTTTTAAGATCATATTTAAAATTTTACATAAAGAAGTAATTTAGTTTGTGCATTCATTATTTTGGAATTAACATAAAAATTGATAGGATATTTAGATTCACTCATGTATTTATCTACTATTCTCTTTCTATTATCTTTATTTGACATAGATCTTGTCATAACTCTTATAAATGCTTAACTTAATTTATCTAATTAATCATGATGATCAATTTTTAACATAAGATAACTTAATTATTTACCATATAACAAATATTTATTAAAACTATTTATCAATTTATCTATTGGTTTTTAAAGTATTACAAAACAACCTAAATATATACAAAAGCATGATAATATTATCGAAAGTAAACCAAATATAAAATCTGTAACTATTTCTGTATAGATTTTAGATAGGGTTATTCTCAAAGTTTAATAATAATTAGAATATGCTGATGAATTAAACATTGATAACACATAATAATCTCCAGTTACTTTTTTAACTCTAAAATACCATAAAACACCAGTATTTTTATTTTCAATGCAAATTGTTTATGGAATTTATATTTCACATATTTACTCTTTCTATTATTATATATCATGATTTAATATTAAATTAACATCTTATTAATCAAAACCAAAAATAGTTTAATTATATAAGTAATACACTTCTGATGTATTAACTGTATATAATTTACTAATTAAAATTCTACCATTTGAATCCATAGCTAACATCTATTGATCATCTTCCATAAATTAATGAATATCTGAGAAATTTAGATCAACAACAATAATCCCTATTCTTTCATTATTTGCTCCATTATATAAGTTAGTAGTACCAGATATGTATACACCTCCAAAATAATTAGTATAAGGTTCTGAAATTATATATTCAGATTTATTTATATTGGCCATATGATTTTGAAACCACCTTCTTGATGATGGTACATAATCACCAAAAGGTTAACCTGGATAGGTTGAAAAATAACAATCTTTTGAGATTGAAGTAAAATACATATCTTATTAAATTTGCATTGGAATTAATGAAGTTAATAAATTAGAAAGTTAAAGAAATTCTTAACTGTATTATTCTGGATTGTGAATTTGATTTGAACAATCAAAAATACCATAACAATATTAGCATTTTAAAACAAAACTTTCATTAAGATATGATTCTTAAAGACATCTATCAGAATTCTATACAAAAGTCATGCTTGTATTGTAAATTTATTAATTTAAGAGGTTGATATCATTNATTATTAAAAATTTAATAAATTTCTGTTTTATTTTTAGTTTTGAAATATTATGATAAAAATCATAAAAGTTATTAAAAATTATTATAAATAATATCATTAATATATATATTATTGCAAAATTGATTTAAATATTTGAATTAGAGAATCAAAAGTAATAAGTCAAAATGATTTTTGTTAAGAATTCTCTTATCTATATTGTTGAAAGAATTGATCAATGTTTTTTTATCTTGATGAACTCATTTCTAAGTTCTTTTAAGATCATATTTAAAATTTTACATAAAGAAGTAATTTAGTTTGTGCATTCATTATTTTGGAATTAACATAAAAATTGATAGGATATTTAGATTCACTCATGTATTTATCTACTATTCTCTTTCTATTATCTTTATTTGACATAGATCTTGTCATAACTCTTATAAATGCTTAACTTAATTTATCTAATTAATCATGATGATCAATTTTTAACATAAGATAACTTAATTATTTACCATATAACAAATATTTATTAAAACTATTTATCAATTTATCTATTGGTTTTTAAAGTATTACAAAACAACCTAAATATATACAAAAGCATGATAATATTATCGAAAGTAAACCAAATATAAAATCTGTAACTATTTCTGTATAGATTTTAGATAGGGTTATTCTCAAAGTTTAATAATAATTAGAATATGCTGATGAATTAAACATTGATAACACATAATAATCTCCAGTTACTTTTTTAACTCTAAAATACCATAAAACACCAGTATTTTTATTTTCAATGCAAATTGTTTATGGAATTTATATTTCACATATTTACTCTTTCTATTATTATATATCATGATTTAATATTAAATTAACATCTTATTAATCAAAACCAAAAATAGTTTAATTATATAAGTAATACACTTCTGATGTATTAACTGTATATAATTTACTAATTAAAATTCTACCATTTGAATCCATAGCTAACATCTATTGATCATCTTCCATAAATTAATGAATATCTGAGAAATTTAGATCAACAACAATAATCCCTATTCTTTCATTATTTGCTCCATTATATAAGTTAGTAGTACCAGATATGTATACACCTCCAAAATAATTAGTATAAGGTTCTGAAATTATATATTCAGATTTATTTATATTGGCCATATGATTTTGAAACCACCTTCTTGATGATGGTACATAATCACCAAAAGGTTAACCTGGATAGGTTGAAAAATAACAATCTTTTGAGATTGAAGTAAAATACATATCTTATTAAATTTGCATTGGAATTAATGAAGTTAATAAATTAGAAAGTTAAAGAAATTCTTAACTGTATTATTCTGGATTGTGAATTTGATTTGAACAATCAAAAATACCATAACAATATTAGCATTTTAAAACAAAACTTTCATTAAGATATGATTCTTAAAGACATCTATCAGAATTCTATACAAAAGTCATGCTTGTATTGTAAATTTATTAATTTAAGAGGTTGATATCATTTATTGCATAAATTCCTTATCTAATTCTATTTTCAAGATTTCTAGTATATGCATTTAATTATGAATTAGTTTGACGATAAATAAAATTCATAATGAATTTCTTTTCTGCATCATTCTACAAGGCCTAAAATATTCCTTCAAAATTTAGAAATAAACATAATCCCAAAATTGTAACAGAAACAATCATTGTGATTAATTAAGTAACTAATATTTATGTTCTTATTCTCCAAGTCTTGAACTTTTTAATTAAACAATCTTTTCCAATCATAATATCAATAATTATATAAGAAAATTAATCTATAGAAAAGTTAGCTTAATACATTTACAAATAATCTCAAGAATTCTTGTATTATAAAAACAAACTATTCAATAAAGTGAAATTAATTCAATACAATAAATCCTATTCTTATAAATGGAATTAATTATAATGAATTAATACTGTATATGATTAAAATAATTGAAATAAGACAAAAAAAAACATTAAATATAAAAAAAAATATAATTATTAATCAGCAAATTCATTTAGAATTAAAGACATTGCTATTTAGAAGTTACAAATTTATTTTTTTTGGGAATAAAAATTAAATCCATATCATCTTAACAAATTCTTGAGTTTTCTAGATTGAAATATCTTAATGTTAGTATTTTATATACTTATTTTTCCATAAGTTAAGTCCTTTTCTATAGTTTTCTGCATCTTAATCAACTTTAAATCATACTATTCATTACTAGTTTCATAAAAATAATTGTTAATTTTAGCATATTTTCTAAACAAAATGGTTGATTCAATTTTTCATCCAAATTTCTTCTATCTAAAAATTCTAAGTATTGCACTCCTATAGGGTTAATTTTTATAGGTAGTCGATAAGTAGTGTGAATATCGATAGAATGAAGTTTAAAATTTTGATTAAGAATTCGAATCTATAATTACAATATAAATAATTTATTAATAAAATCATTTATCTATGAATTATGAATGCTATTATTATTATTGCTATTTTTAAGTACTTGATTATCGAGTAATTTTAGATTTTTAACTAATTTATGATTTTGTGTCACTAATAGCTTATACTGATTTATTTATTTAAGATTCACTCTCTTTATAATTTGATCTCTTTATAATTTTATTAGGGTTTTCTGCATATATTTTATAATAAATGAATACATTCTGGTTTTTGAAAAGTAGGTACTTTTGTTCCAATTACAGCTTCAGGATAATTTTAGAGAAACTTTTCTATTCCTCCACTTAGAAGATAAACATTCTCAAAACCTTTTTCAGCAAAGAGTGTGGCAGAAGGTATACCATTTTTTTCATCAAAATGATAAATTATGATTAGTTTGCCTACTTGATTTTTCTATTAATAGTTTTATCATAAAAAACTTACAAATCTATATATTTATTGAGTTAGCTTATCTTATCGGAGTAATGGAGCAGGGAAATTGATGGCTTCTTTAATGTGATACATTTAAAATTCATCTTGATCTCTTAAATCAATAAGAAGAAATTCAGATTAATCAGTGAGACCAAGTTATTCAGTTGCATAAGTAATTGCAGAAACCTATGAGACTTCAGTGAATCTTGTTTTCTAACTATATTGACTTTAAGCATCAAATTATTTCAATTAATCTTATTCTTATTGATCTATNTTTATGTTCTTATTCTCCAAGTCTTGAACTTTTTAATTAAACAATCTTTTCCAATCATAATATCAATAATTATATAAGAAAATTAATCTATAGAAAAGTTAGCTTAATACATTTACAAATAATCTCAAGAATTCTTGTATTATAAAAACAAACTATTCAATAAAGTGAAATTAATTCAATACAATAAATCCTATTCTTATAAATGGAATTAATTATAATGAATTAATACTGTATATGATTAAAATAATTGAAATAAGACAAAAAAAAACATTAAATATAAAAAAAAATATAATTATTAATCAGCAAATTCATTTAGAATTAAAGACATTGCTATTTAGAAGTTACAAATTTATTTTTTTTGGGAATAAAAATTAAATCCATATCATCTTAACAAATTCTTGAGTTTTCTAGATTGAAATATCTTAATGTTAGTATTTTATATACTTATTTTTCCATAAGTTAAGTCCTTTTCTATAGTTTTCTGCATCTTAATCAACTTTAAATCATACTATTCATTACTAGTTTCATAAAAATAATTGTTAATTTTAGCATATTTTCTAAACAAAATGGTTGATTCAATTTTTCATCCAAATTTCTTCTATCTAAAAATTCTAAGTATTGCACTCCTATAGGGTTAATTTTTATAGGTAGTCGATAAGTAGTGTGAATATCGATAGAATGAAGTTTAAAATTTTGATTAAGAATTCGAATCTATAATTACAATATAAATAATTTATTAATAAAATCATTTATCTATGAATTATGAATGCTATTATTATTATTGCTATTTTTAAGTACTTGATTATCGAGTAATTTTAGATTTTTAACTAATTTATGATTTTGTGTCACTAATAGCTTATACTGATTTATTTATTTAAGATTCACTCTCTTTATAATTTGATCTCTTTATAATTTTATTAGGGTTTTCTGCATATATTTTATAATAAATGAATACATTCTGGTTTTTGAAAAGTAGGTACTTTTGTTCCAATTACAGCTTCAGGATAATTTTAGAGAAACTTTTCTATTCCTCCACTTAGAAGATAAACATTCTCAAAACCTTTTTCAGCAAAGAGTGTGGCAGAAGGTATACCATTTTTTTCATCAAAATGATAAATTATGATTAGTTTGCCTACTTGATTTTTCTATTAATAGTTTTATCATAAAAAACTTACAAATCTATATATTTATTGAGTTAGCTTATCTTATCGGAGTAATGGAGCAGGGAAATTGATGGCTTCTTTAATGTGATACATTTAAAATTCATCTTGATCTCTTAAATCAATAAGAAGAAATTCAGATTAATCAGTGAGACCAAGTTATTCAGTTGCATAAGTAATTGCAGAAACCTATGAGACTTCAGTGAATCTTGTTTTCTAACTATATTGACTTTAAGCATCAAATTATTTCAATTAATCTTATTCTTATTGATCTATTATATTATGGATTGATTCTTATGCAGGTTCTTCCTAAAAATTAAGTATTAATTACACTAATAAGTTTGAATATTGTGGAACATTTAATTCTTTTAAAAATCTCAGATCTCTTTTTTGCTATTGTTGCATTGCTGATAACTTCAATATCTCTAATAGTTGGTCCAGTGTTGAGAGTTTATTTTACATAATCATATTTTTTATTTCTTGGGACCTTCTTATCTAAAGGCTATAAGGATGTAAGAATAAATGAATACATTTCCCTTTCCTTTAATATATCCAATTGGCAATTTGTCCATTTTAATTTATATAATCTGTTAAATAATAATATTCAATATTGATAATGATTTTCAATCTGATACAGGGATAGTCTTTAGATTTATTGAAAATTAATTAATTACAAGGTAGAAACTATAAGACTAGTCAAATAATCTTTGATTTATGTATCTTTATCAATATTTGAAGCTATATATTATAATAAATATGATACTTATAGACATTAGATAAATTTAATCTGCTTCAATAAATTCCATTCTTAGAAGAGAGAAGAATCTATTATCTTTGAGGATTGGAATTTTGTGAATAAATTATTCAATTTAATTATTGATCATTTTACTAATTGTTTCATTATATCTTTAATGATCTACAGGAACACCCTAATTTAAGATTTATTTACTTTTTGTATTTTATAATAGAAGCCATCAAAAATTTAATATTAGAATGGATCTACAAGACTAATCAATAACATAGCAAAGAATCTCTTTTGTCTATTTTCAACCTTCTTTTATATTATAAGATCATCAATCACAATTCCACAATTTTTACCATCTTAATATTTTCTTCTTATAAAATTGTGTTATAATGTTTATTATGAAATTTATCTTTTAATATGATTTTTAATCAAATATTCTGATTCATTTAGATTTTTATATTACTTAAAATATTCTAAACATTATGTAATATCTAAGTAATAGTAAATGAAGATTTACTATTCATGATAAAAGTTTCTGGTATAGGAACTTCAGTTTTCTGTAAAATTTGATAAAGAGATGATTTTTTGAATAATATTTCAATTCCAGGAATATGATTATAGGCTTGGAAATTACATAAAAATTAAGACCCAATTTCAAAATATGTATGAAAATTAAAATTTTCCATAAAAAAGATTGTAGTATTAAAGGGTAGATGATATAATTTATTACTTTCTAATATTACATCTGGTAGTAGATCTTTACCAGCAGCATTTAATGCAAAAGTGATTATGTTATCATTAGGATAATCAGTAATTATATTGATAGGTAATTGATGATGAGTTATAACGTAGAGATTATTCAATTCACAATAATTATAATCTTTAAGGATATTAAGTTGTGTTTATTAACGAATAGGTTCATTAGTAATAAGAATACTTTATTTAATAGGATTGATGTCTTTTATTGCTTAGATTGTATAATCATAATTAGTGTCTATATCATCATCTCCTACAGCAATGAGATCTCCTTTTGGATCATCAATAAATTAAATTTCTCTTTCATTTTCTTCAGTATATTAAAATTCTTCCTCTTCACTCATTTCAATTTATATATCTATGTTATTTTAATCTTTTATGTTAGATTCATATATATGATGTTCAAAGATGCTATTTATAAATAGTTTAGTCTCATTAATACTAAACTCTTAATCTTATGTGATGTAAGCAAAGTAAAATAACAAAAGTGTCCAATTAAATAATAAGAGAAAGGCTAATCGTAATCCTAATTTAATTGGAGTCATTTTCTTATAATAATGATTTAAAATGAATTTCAATAAAAATAGAAGAGTCACTTTATTTTAGATTCTAGGAAGAGATAGAGTGAATAAGAAATCATAATCATAACATAAGAAGTCAAATACAATAGATCATGTGTAATTACCATAATTATATGATAATTTTCTAACTGAACATAGAATACGTCTAGGATAATAGAAATAATTCAAATCTATCAAAATTAAAGATGATTTTCCAGCCAATACATCTTTAAATGTATCAGTTAGATCACCAATTAGATTATAAAGCATTTTATAATCAGGTTAAATGAATATCAAAATAGACTAATTGTTAAATAGAAAGAAATATGTCAAGTCAAGTATACAGATGAAATTACACTGATTTATATATTTATAAATATATAAATTCAAATAATAAATCAATCAATCCTTTTATTCTTTTTATCCCTTAGAATATCCTGTAGGATATAAGAGTTTCCTTAATTTCTCTTCTTCTTATAATGGATCATTATCTTCATAACCTTTCATATTCAATATACAAATTTACCATATAATCTATATGCATTAATATCACCTTTAGCATCACCAGTAATAAGTACTGGACTATTTTAGGCAAATCTAACCATAGTTTTAGCTGGCCAAATTTATTAATCTTATGGCATAATAGTAAAATATGGATCTAACATATTATTTTTAGTTAAATCCCATAATTCTAATCTACCATCTTTACAAACTGATGCAAATAATACAGAAGTATGAGGAGACCATTCAAAATCTAATACTTCATCTTATAAATTTTATTGCTTTTATAAATCAAATTATAAATACTTAGAAATTAGCTTTAGGTAATTCTTCTGTCCAATTCCATAATTTACATGACCAATCAGCACTACAAGTTAAAAAAATATCACCAAAAAAAGGATTACATCTAACCTTATAAACAGGACCAGAATGTCCAAAATAATTATCTAAATATTATTCTGTATATGATTTTGAGCATCTATGAACAGTACCATCTTCAGTAGCAGCTAAATACATAGCAGATTCTCTTTATAAAAAATCAAAAGAAAATCCTGCTGACATTCTAAAATTAACACCTTCTTATAAATTCTCTTTTTAAGATGATTAAACAACTCTTTTAAGTTGCATTAAATTAGTATATTCCAATCCTTTTTTCATTGACCATTCAACAATACGACTATCACTACTAATACTAACAAGTGATTCTCCTTTATCTGTTCCTTTAGCTCCTTTTCCTACCCATTATACTTCCCAAACAGAATCACTATGTTTACCTGCCATCTCTTTATTTTCAGTAATAGGTTTATTAGATTTTCTTCTAATATCCCATACAGCTACTATACCATCAACAGTTCCTGCAGCAATTAGATTTGGTTAACTTTCAGAGAATTTACAACAATTAATTTTGGATGGATAAGTAATAATACGTTCAGGGAAAGTTGGATTTTTTAAAGTCCAAAACATTATATGTCCATCAGATGTTTCTCTATTACTATATGAAACAGCTAATAAATCTTTATTAACTGGATTCCAATCAGCACTAGTTACTTTACATTATTCACTTAATTAACATTTGTATGAAAATAATTATGTAATAGGATCTTATTATTTTTTTTCAACAACTTCTTCATCTTCTTGTTTATTTTAAAAATTTCTTTTAAATGCTCCTCCTCTTTATTTAGGATCTTCATTTAATGTCATCTTCTCAAATTTAACTTCTGGATAATTTCTATATTGAATATATTATTTATGATATAAATTCTAATTAAGAATTCTTTCCACATATTTTAAACTAGTTTATACTTATTGACTTTAATAAATGATTTATTCTTATTCACTAATTTAAGAATTGGTTCTTTAAACATATTATTTCATATATTCTTCTTCTTTTATATCTTATTCATCCTATTTTTATTCATATTATTTTTATTATTATTCAGGTAATGGATTACTAGTTTTACCATGACTTTTTGTCACTTATTATTAAATATTAGCTTATTAAGATCCCATATTAGTAACACCTTTAGTACCAGTATGACTAGAAGAACTATCTTATATTCTTTCATCTCCACCTTAACCAGTTAATCCTCCACTTAAATTATTGATAGGTTATTATTTAGTATTAGTAGCAATACCACTTCTAGTTTTACTTTATGATTTTTCAGATGTTTCTTTACCTAAAACAGGTCTTTCAGCATGTATTTTAATTGCTTCTAATTCTGTAGGTAATAAGAAATATGGATTCTTATTCAATTATTTATATTCATTTTCTATACTTTATTTAATCTCTTCTTATAATATTTCAAATTCATTTAATTGATCAGTTATTGAAGCATCATATAAATCCCAAACAGCTGTAAATGCTCCTGTATCATTCTTTTCTATTTTAGTACATTATTAAGGTTTATGTTTCTATATATAATTAAATGTTTAAGCAAATCTCTTTGTAAAATTATCACTTCCAATTTTTTCTACTATAAATTATTCATATTTTTGAGTTCTTTAAATCTATCCAGTTTTTTTACCATGTTCACTATTTACAAATGATGATGGTCTAAATATAATATATATATATATTAGTTTACATAAACATTAAACATTATGTAGGAGTCTCACTTAAATTAATTGGTATATTCTCTTCTAAATCCTCTTCTTTTAAACCTTTCTTCTATTTTGGTTTCTTTTCTTATTATTCTGATTGATCTCTTTTAGAATCTGAATCAGAATATGTATCTGATTACTTAGATTCCATAAAACTACTTCTCTCTGGATTATTAGAAGATGAAACTTTCAAATCAGAATTCGATGATTTATCCTATTATACTTTATTAATAGTACTGCACTCTAATGGAATGATTTCATATTACTATCCATAACACTTGCACTAACTTTTGTATCTGTTGGTTTCTATAATTATTTCAATTTCTATTCTTCCTCTCTATTCAACTATTCAGCCAATTACAAGAATCTCTTTGTAATCAATCTAATTTTTATATCATAATCTTACTCTTTTGGTGTTACTACACTATCTTTATACTTTACTATAACATTATCTTATGATGATTATTGAGTATCTTTCCCTGTTTAAGGTGGACCTAATTAAGTTCTACCTCCACCTAATTGATTTGGTCTATATATACATATTCATAACTACCTCTTAGCTGTAACATTTGAACGTACATTTGATTTAGTTACTCCTGCTTTTAGTACCTCTGATGAAATCGACTACATTTATTTATTAATGGAATCTAAAAATCTTACCCAAAACATCAATCCCTTATATTTACTTGCATCATTAGCTTTGGGTACAATTGGGGCTGCTGCCTTTAATGCATTAAGAAAAGGATCAAGTGAAACTGCTCAACAACATGTCTTTGAAGAAAATATGTCTGCAAATGCATCTGCTCCTTAATCTCCTAAAAGACCAACAAAAAAACATGTAATTAATAAGTTGATGGCAAAAAATGCTAATGAAAATGAATTAGTCAAAGAATTAAAAAATTTAGAAGAAATTAC